GCTGCGGGACCCCTACCACGTCTCTTTCTCCTTGTACGTGGGAATTTTCCCGTCCCAGGTTTTCCAGTCGCACGCTACATCGGCATTCCAGAGTGAATTACACACTCTCGCGATCACTAGGTATACACACGTTTGTGCGGAGGGATCGGCATTTCTACACGTGTGTGTGAAGGATCTCGTCTTTTTAAAAGGCTCGTGGACCACAACGAGGGGTTGGTTGTTACTCGCGTGGGAGATCTGATGCTCGATGTTTGGGAAAAAAAAAAAAAAAATGCGCTTCTATACCGTATACAATGTGCGATGGGTAACGTATGTAAAATAAGGTCTCGTGTGTCCATTTGTATGCACGTAGTATCGCTTGGAAAAGTCAAGCATGCGGCTATTGTATTGTTATGACGATGATAATTTAAATGGCTTAGATTGTGCGTATATAATGATTTTGATGATGAACAACAAAAGAACAATGCGACGCTCGACTTGGAGGAATCTTGCGTGAATCATCTTCGTTAGAACGGATCGTTACTTGCGTGCTAATTTTTTTTCTTGGCAACGTTCAATATATTCATAAATTACTTATGCCGATTGTTTTTCGAGGCTATCATGGAGTTACCAATGATATGCAAGAATCATGATTGTAATGAGCCTATAATTATATGGTGCTTCAAACCTTCTTGATAATGGAACGAACGTATTTGTGACAATTTTGGATTACGAGTAGGTTATTAATTCACAAATTTGGTTTTGCTAAAAAAAAAAAAAAAAAAAAAAAAAAAAACTGTTTGCGCGTTTTCTGAAGATGTGTCCGTCAACCATGGCAATTTCGAGAAGACTGAGCTCTTGAGGCAGCCAATAATCTACTTTCAAAAATGTGACGAAGACGAGTAGAGGTCGTTGGTGTAGGTTTTTATTCGTGGCGCACTTTTTTTAATTCGGTCTCTCAAGACTACGCGGAAACAGTGTCCATCGTCAACGTTGTCTGATATTACAATTTTCAAAGGAATACATCGATTCGTCTCATTTTTCGTACATTTTTATAACCGACTACAACTGAATTTCTTGTACAACGACACGATCCAGTTTTATTATTTAATTTTATTGTAGAACGCGTGGTTATTAACAATACCTATGTTTTTAGTTACAAATGGCACACAGTCTATAATAGATTCAATTGAATTTGAGCATAAAAGTTTGGGCTCAACTGTATATATATATATAAATACAAACGTTTTCCGAGGAACGATTCGAACGATGAATGATAAAATTCTTCTTTTTTTTTTTTTTTTTTTCGCTCACACCGGATGTATGATGCAGAAACGTTTTTTCATGCTCTTGTTGATATACTCGCAGAACTGTTTAGCAAATGATTAACCGGCGCGAGTCATAGTTGGCGTGTACTTATCGTGTTACATCGTCAATTTTTATTTTGGATGTCTCATCGTTGCGAACACGCGCGAATGACCAATCCATACATTTGTTTGATTTTATTTTATTTTTTATTTTTATTTTTTTTTAATTTTTACATAAAAATGGCTACTGTTCAATTGGTACGAATTTGGTGCGAATTCTACGGGCGATTTAATAAAAAAGAAAAGTATAATTCAAAAATACAAACACGTGGACTTTGATCAGACCCCGCTCGCACGTCCTCTTCTATGCTCCTTGAAACAAAATCCAAGGAGTGAAAAAAAACCTGTTCCCCCAGACTCCAAATGGTCCCTCGATTCACCGGACGCGAAAATAACCCTTGAAAAAAACGTCCAGCTCACGTTTTGTACACAATACGTGACGCGCAAAAGCTCGCGATTCATCCGCGCGTACAAGGCGTATACACGTTATACGCGAAAAAGCCCGCATTCATGTCTTCTGCATGAACCGACACCCCCCCCCCCCCCAAACCCCCTTTCATTCGCGAAAATTGGCGACTCGAGCTTTACGACGCGTAGTGAGTAACGCGTACTACACCCGCTATATTTTCCTCTTTAGCCCGTATCATTCATCAAACGGAGCTGGGGAGTAGGAAACAAACAAAAAAAAAAAAAAAAAAAAAAAAAAAAAAAAAAAAAAAATCCAGGTAGATCCCTTTTTCCCC